CTAACGCCCCTCAAGACGCCAGCAGCCAGGGTTCACCCACGTGGTCCCACATTCTGCCTTAGCTGTCCCAGGGCTAATCCTCCCAAGAAATTTTTTAAACAACTGCCAGCAGAACCCAACCCTCCTTTGCTCATAGCCAATGGCACACTCCTCTCTGATTTCGACAGCGTTCAGCTCAAGCGCTAGCCCATTAGATGTTGATTTCCTCAGATACACTTGTGCCAAACATAACTCCCACTTGGATTCGCAGGAGTGCCTAAATCTGTTACCTGCAAAGTGGAAGTTCTGCTACCAATTTTAGTCAGTACAGAAGAAACCTCAAAATGAGAAATCTGATTTGTTACTATTTCACATCAAAACTGGACCTACTGGGGAGCGGTGGGATCAAATAAGGGATGTATTTCTACAGCTACAGTTTTATATGACAATATAGAAGCCTAAAATGTAATTGGATTTAATGGACTAAAATACTAAGTTTAAATGGCAACCACATACGTAACTATAGCTACTACATAAACAAGCCTTGTCAAAATTATCAGGTATGAAGTATTTTGGGTTATTTCTTGATCTTTAAGAGAGGTACCTTAAATTACTCAGCTTCAGATAAAGTTTGTCATGTGCATTCCCAGCTTTCTCTCTCCCCCTCTCTCATAAATCCGTTCCACCTAAACAACCAGTGACAAGTCTGCCATGGGAGATCTTGCACTACTGAACTGTATGTCGCAGTCTGATCCCAATTTTACTGTGATGTACTAAAAGACAACTTAAAAATGGCATATGAAAAAGAACATTATACTTGCTACCAGTTCTACCATCTGATGCTGTAACTCACAGAATTTAATCCTGGAATTTATGCACAACATACATATGCATCTAAATACATACAGAGTTTACATAAAAAATATATATTTGGCTTCACTGCAATATGTATAGCTTTCTCACTGAAGAAAGGCTTAAGGTTGAACAAAAAGTAATAAGCACATTAAAAAAAGGAGGTTAATATATTTACCTGTTAAAATGGATAGCGGGAGACCAGACAGAAAAATTCAAATAATCCAAATTTATGCAAAATATGAAGTTGTCCAGTCTATAATCCAACTTTCATACACTAATCAATCCTATTTCAATTTTCTTTGATAAGCTGCTCCAAGTTTTCCAATTAGCCATCAGGTCATGTATATGCTACTGTGCTCGGTAATTACTATTTTTAAGACTTAAAACCAGCCTGTTTCAGCAATGAGAACTGCCATAATTTTTGTACAAGTAAAAATTACACCATAATTAACTTCTCCTGTATTGACTAAATATGTGATTTTTAAACTTCTCCCTAATTAGGCTGGAACTTTCCATTATAACGTTTCAATGGCAGAATGGCTATGATCTTTTGAATATTTCTCATGAAAGAAAATTATAATCTGAACACAGACTTAGTAGTGTTGTATTAGTGGACTATTTTTTTTTTTAGCATTTAAAAAAGGAACATCATTAGAGTAAAATGCACTGAACACTGAAACTATGGCATATACAATGTATACATACATATTTTTAAAGTAACAATTCATTAGTATTAAATTTGGCCCAATAATCTATTGCATACAAATACAGAACTTCCTTATTCTCCTTTCTGAGGCAGGCAGGACTAAAGATTTATTTTAGAGACAGCTGACAGGTGGGAAGATACGTACTTCCTAAACATGTTTATAAGGTGGTGGTTTTTTGTTGTTTGTTTCCTGAAACCTGCCAGCATCCGTTTTGCATTGTTTTTTGTCCTCAGTGCACCGAAAAAAGTCAAACTGTGTTGCCTGTGAAAATTAGGTAATTTTCTATATGGAAACAAGACACCAACAGCAGTAAGAAAGCAAAACACAAACAGAAATGTTCTTTGTTTCTGAGAACATTCTAATGATGACAACATCAATTGGTTTTAACTTAGGAATTCCTTTATCTTTAGCTGTGCAATTTAAGTGCATCTTGGAGTTTCAAGAAAGGCATTTTTAATACTATCTTGGAGTTTCAAGAAAGGCATTTTTAATACTAATTGTTTAGCATATGAAGCTATTGAACATTATAAGCAAATTCAGGGCAAGTGTTGCAGATATCTGACTTGTAAATACCGATTTTAGAAGAAAATAAATCTGACTACGAGACATGTCTGTTCAAATGGTTACAATTCACATTCTAAAAACCGTGTTATGTTGCTGAGTATCTCTACTACAGGAAACAGAAAAAGAGACAATGCATTAACCTAAGCAACTCTTCTGGCTTCTACTAGCACGTAATTTTCTAAACCCAGTAAGATTTTGGATTTTGGCTTATATATACAAATATCACAAGTGTTTGCTCTAACATTTTACTTGAATTATACATTATAAATTACCATAGCAAATATTCTACTGTTGCCTATTTGACAGTGGCACAATTCATAGGTATTTACACTATCATTCTGTTTTCATTTTGCTATATTTATCTTGTCTGCAATATACATGAGAAATTGATAGAAAATTATCAACTTTCATCATTATCCTTTTTACTTAAAAAAAAAAAAACACACAAAGAAATAAAACACATTTGTCACCCCTGATTATAGTACATTTATCAACTATCCATGCATCTGATCTGTAGAATTCCCTCTCTTACATGTATTTTGTTTGGTTAAGGATGATTCCCCGTCGTATGAGATATAATTCAATATAATTTAATTTACAGAGAAACTATTCTGTGGAGATTGGATTATGTGCTGTGAGCAAAAAAAGGGCATTACTAAATTAAGCATTAAAACCAAACTGCTAATCTGATTTCATCTAGCTGTGCAGAATTACAGTATTTTGGTACCTACTTAAAAGTCTGTTTTGACTGACCTTTAAAAATAAATAGTTTTTCTCTATTTAATCTATAGGGTATTTTGTGATAAAGTACATATTTCTATCATGTTACAAATAATATTTATCTGTGGTAGATTACAAAGCCAATAGTTTCTACTAATTATAATTCATCCCAAAGGCCTTCCAGCAAGCAATAGAAATAGATAAGGGAAAAGAAACTATTATGTTTGCTTTAAGAATGTTTAAGGAAAACTGCAGAAGAACATTTTCATCTGGTATTAAAATGAATTTGATTGCATTGAGCATAAAATGTTGGATTTCTTACAAAGGACTGGCCTGAAAAGAAAGGCTTAATCTGTCTTAGCAGAAAGAAGCAGTAGTCAGAGCAAATAACTTTTCTCTCCCCAGAGTGTTTCAAGTTAGATAAGAGTGTCCTAAATATGCTTTTCAGCCCACATTCTGAAATGCTGATGGAAGATACATGCAAGGCAAAGCAAAAAGTCATTGGGAAAGGAGTGAAGAATCTTCAATATGCATGATACAGCAATCACCACAAAACAACATACTGTACTTCAAATGGAGACTCAAAGAAGGCCAAAAGAGAAGAAATCCACAGCCAGCATTATGAACTGAATGCCAAAAATTCGGATTCAGGTCTTGAAACCCAGCTGAGCAACTGGCAGGTTTTCAACATCTGGGATGCGAGATTGCAGCAGATGGGAAGCCGGAGAGTGAATTAAAAGTAAAACCAGAGAAAGGCTGTATTTTTGAAGAGGGGAGATATAACTGTGTATTTATACAGGCAGTAACAGAATTATGCCTCAGAGATGAAAGGTACTACTTGAACTGGTGCTTTAAGAACATAGGGAGCCCAAAGTGTGTGTCATGGCTTGTATTTCTACACCTACACTTAACAGAAGTCTGGATGTATAGAATTATCTCTTGGAGATACCTAGGAGAATCTAAGAAACATTAAGAAGCATCACAAGAGAAAATCATAGCAATCAAGCATAAACAAGGGAGCTTGGGAAACGGCAAGAATCAGATGTAGCGAGGGGTTATGCTAGTTGTATCATTACATACAGAAGAACAGGGTTGGCAAAGTTTACCTCAGGGGGAAAATGTAACAGCAAGGAAACAAATGAGCTTGAAAGCACAGAGCATCTGTTTCAGTCAGCTAAAAGGAGACAGGCTGGGGGGGGCAATTGTTTGCTGCCAGTATCCTGCCACAGGAGTTTGGCAGGCTGACTGAATATATTTTCTTTCTTTGAACATCACCAGGTTTCAGATACACTGAGACAAAACTTTACTCAGTACCGAGACTGACATGTGTTATATCTTTTTTATCTAAATAGTTTTTACTGAAGCATTTTCAATCAGAAAGAATATTTCTCAGGTGGAAGGAGGTCCTGACCAATAAGGAAATTAATTTTCTTTCAGCAGACAGTAAAAACAATCATTCTAAAAAGAGGTAAGGTTTACTTGAGATGGTGAAAAAACAATTTATCTCAATAGATATTACATTCATGTTCACTGACAAGTAAAATCAATGTGCATACAAACTGAAAGAAGGGTCTAAGCAGATGGACCCCCCCCCCCCCAACTCTCCCCTGCAAACACTCATAACCATGAATTTTAAAAGCATGCAATAAATGTTAACAAGATGAATGAGGGGCTCTAAAAACTCTGAAGGGAGGAAGAGTTTCGACTCAACTAAGCAACAGCAGTCAATTAGGATGCACCTACCTGCGTAAGTAATCAGGCTGATTTTACCCCAGACTGTCTGTAAGGACGTAAAACAGGGAAGATTTGTGACTCATCACAAAACTGTCTTGTGCCAAATAAGATTCATGATTTCTCCTCCATATAAACAAAATACGTTCGCAACCTATCTTCACTAGAGCTTTTAAGTATGACAGTTATTAAAATTTCTGAATAAAATGTATTTTTCAAGGTACATCATTAGTGATCTAAGTAAGGTTTTACAGAAACACAGGGGGTGAAACTGCACACAAAAGAAAATGGAAAAAATGGCTGACATTGTTTCCTTACATTTGTTCAACATTTTGTTATTCAGAACTTCACAGGCTGGCATCTACTGCTATAAAGGAAACACATTTTGATTTGGAAGGATCAAAGAAAAGGTACTGAGCTCAGATTTTTTTTTCTTTTTTTTTTTTTTTTGTTTCTTTTTAAAAGCCCTTTCAAGTTGGGGAAAATTCATGCATTGTCACCTCAGAGCACAATGTGATATAGGCAGCTGCTTCAAGCTGGCTACGGTGTGCAAAGTTCACTGTCATGACCGGCTGACTGCTCAACTGTCAGGGAAAAATTAACAAATACAAAAAGGGGAACGTGGCAGTTTTAGAAACACACTTTTCAATAAAGCATACTGTGAACTATAGACTATTGCACATTTCAACATGACACAAGAAAAAGAGGGGGTTCAAAAGAGAATACACTTTCTAACATAGAAATATACAGACTAGCTTGTGCACAGAAATCAAAACATGGTTACAAGACACCACTGCAGTCAAACCTGTCTTATAGTCTGCTTATGATCTTAGTGACCTTAAGAAACTGGTCCAAACTGATTATCAGCAATACTTTTTTTGTTACATTTTTTTTTTAAAAAAATATTTTGAGACCACATTTTTGATACACATATATATATTCCGTGGTCAAAACAGACAGACTTAACTTTAGCGATACTAAATAAAAGTGCAAAAACGTTCAAAAAATAAAACAAAATAAAAAAATATGGAAGCATAAGCTAAAAATTTTCTGCATAGCTGAAATCTATTTAAAGCGAGTCCTTGGTAGGGGTTGCTGACAGGAGGAGAAAGCAGTTTTTTAAAATGTCTTCTGCATGTTTGTTTCAAATAATGCAAAAAAAAGGTCATTTGTTGGCTTTTAAAGTATTTCACAGGCAGTTCACTCCTGCGTCCTTAGATACCATTGTGGTGGCAGTGCCTCCTTCTGCAAGGTAAACAGCAGTGCTGGATTTGGAGTGGACTGCCCGGTCACTGCCATTATTGTTGACCTCGCAGTGCAGCGGCTCGGTGGAGATGACCCACGTTGAAGGACGCCACCGCTTAAGTGAGTATGGAGTTTTCACACGTTTCTTAATCTTTTCTCCTGAGCCCGATTTGCCATCCTGTGAGGAGTCACCTACTGAAGACAAAAAATAAAAATAAAAAAAAAAACCAAACCAAAACAAACAAAACCAAAAACAGAGTAGAAAATAGTATTACGAGGAAGATAAGATTAGAGCGGAGAGTCCAGGGTTGTTACTCATGCAAAACAGAACAAAAGAACAAAATCTTATCACACAAAAGCACCAAAGCAACTGTGTGGCAGAGGCATGACAGGTGTATCAAGTTCAGTAGCTGCCACTAAAACAAGGAGTCAGATTCTGTTGTCTGTCAGAAATTACTTCAGTGAAGTAATTTGTGTTACCTTGAATGCACACTGGCATCAAAGAGCAGAATCAGCATTTGACATTTGAGGGGCTTTTGCAATCATAGTATCTTAAATTACCTGTAATGGGAGGTACAAAAAAAAAGTCGCTACTACAGGACAGCAAAGGCTAAACTTGTAATAGCATAATTAAATCATAGGTCCCCTCATCCTACTTCACCTGGCAAAGTGTTTCACCTGGAGACAAAATGGTCCATTCTCTGTTACGATCCCGAGTCAGGATTTGGAATGTTGGGTCACAAAACCAACTTTAATCATGGTAAAATTTCAGCAGTAGAAATCTGATTGTTAAAAAAACTTTCACTTTACATAACCTTCAAACCTTTCTTTTAACTCAACCTTCAATTAAAGTTACTACAGTAATCTTTTTTTCTTTACCTCAATACAATTTCAACTCCAGTCAACATGTTAAGACAAAAGTTAAGGTTTCCTACTTAAAAGGAAGGCTTAAACATTCCACTGCTGAATAGTCAGCTACATTTCTTGAAAGATCTGTTCTGGTTTGTTTCTAAAACTTTTCTTTCCAAACATGCTTGGCACCCCAGATTATTTCACTAGTATCACAGCGGCTGTCTAAATAGTCAGAGGTTTGCAAGCACCTTTCAAAGCCTACAGTGCATTCTGGAAATGCATTCCCTTAAAAATGCACACTAGGAAACCCCTCCAACAGCTCCAACAGGCCCAAAGACAAACTCAGAGGATGTACCTAATTTAACAACAAGATTACGTTCTTACGGTAAAAACGAGAGCCCCGTTGTAACCTCTTAAATCTTTGGCCATAAAACTCTTAAGGCAGTTATTCTAAAGGAGTCTGTTAAAATTGATTCCTTCTCTAACTACTTTGATGAATTTTTAATTTGTATATGGTAAACTGACGAAGGATTGCTATAATTGTTGGAGCTCAGATAGCAAGTAGAGAATGCCTGACCATCCGTCTAGGCCGGGCTAATACAGTAAAATCAGTTGCTTTAAAAGTAATGAAGCATATAAGTAGTTATTACAATAAATTATTTTAATCAATGCATCTTAGAGCCAGCTACTCTGAAGAGAATGAGGAAAAGTAAGGAAAAGAAGGTATAATGTGCCCCAAAGGAAGAAATAGGAAGCTTTTTCAATGTGCTTTGCAGCTGCTGAGGTCGGTGCCTTGCAAGGAATAATGAAAGTTAGAAATTACTCCCTTCCTAGAGTCAGAGTAGATGGGTTATAAAGGGACAGATTTATTCCATGTATGTGGAAGGAAGATAGTGACCTAACATGTGCTGGAGTTGATGGAGACAGGACTTTATTGAGAAGATTGAAATCGTGCTGATAGAAATTAAATTTCTATGGGATTTAGTAAGTATGCTTTGAGGAGGGACAGGAGACACAGAATTAATTTCTTTTCAAGCAGATATGTGTAGTTATTAAGTAAAAAAGTGTCAGGGAAACTGTTCAAGTTCTGCAGGCACTTACACTGCATACTACTGCTATCCAAACTATTTGTGGCTGATAGATCCAGCGAATTAGGCCTCTGTGCTCTTCTAGTCTGGGTCTGCCCAGGATTTCTCGCTACATTCTGGATACTGACTGTAGCTGTGTCTTGCACTGGACATGGATTGCTGTTGTTGTTATTGGCATTTGTTCGGCCATTATCCAGTGGTCGTTCTCTCCTGTCTACTAGGCGGTCCAGAACACCTTCATCATGGCCAACCTGCTGCTCCCGCCTCAACAAGGGTTCATGTTCATCAGGGCTTGAATTAATATTCAGCCGACTATCCTCTCCACTGAACTGGTTCTGAAGCATTTCCTGGGCCCTCTGCGCTACCGAACTGGCTGTCTGGCCAGACGGCACTGTCCCATTGGCATATTGGGTTGCGCCAGCATGAGAGTTTATGCTGTGGCTTCTCCCAGCCACTCCGTTCATGGTAACTGTCACGACATGAGGTTCTGCAGCATTGATAGTGTTCATCTTGGCAACACCTGTTTCCACTTGCTTCAAGTTTGATTTGTGCTTGCCACCAAATTTTAACCGTGGCTCCTTTGTTGAATTTTTGGTGTTTAGGGGGAGGCTAGTAGGCCTCTTCGGAAGGTTCTGTTGCTTGGGTAGAGGATAGACCTGAGCAGATGGGACATCTGGAATCAAACATGCTTGACCATTGCCAGCTTGTGTGAAGTCCTGTTGTCCTGTCACCTCTACTGCAAGTTTTATCAGCGGATAAAGCAAGCTGGAACTAGTGCTGCTGAGTGGATCTGGTCCGCTAAACTGCTTAAGTGAATGTTCCATCAGATTCTCATCAGAGCTTTCTTTCAGGTTCTTATCCACTTCTTTTGGATCCAATTTATTGGTCTCTAAGTCCTCCTCTGTTAGCTGCAGACAAACAGGGGTGGGCCCACCTGGCTGCATGACATTTGTAGTATGTAAGTTTGTTTCATCCGAGTAAGGCATTTCGGATATGGTGGTCATGCCCGTGCTAGGAGTGAGGCCAGTTGTATTGGTGGTGGTAGTATTGGTGGACAAACTGGTGACGCTTGTCTCGGGACTAGGGATGCGAGCTTGCGCTTGTTGCCGCTCATAGTTAATGGAGTTTCTGTTCTTTTCCCCTGAAGTCAATGGTGTAGTGGACATTGAATGTTCAGAAGAAATGTTCTTCACTATGCTGTCAGTGTGGTGGATTGAATCTTCAATGTAAGAAGAGGAAGAGTAATCTGGATATGGCCTTATCTTTGACACACGCCTATGATGCGACAGATTCCTTTAAGAAAAAATAAGTGATATTAAGATCATATATGTAAAAATCACCTCATATTATAAAAGTCTCTCATTTATGAGAGCTGAATGTCTTTCTGTTTCTTTTCATGCATGAACTAAGGACAGATACAGTACAAACTGAGATCTTCCAGTAACTTCCTTGAAAAATCCTGGGTAGGAGAAAATTGGTTTTACTAGGACAGGAATTTTGTCATGGATATTATTTATACAACTAAGTCGGATAACAGTAATTTTCTTCTATTTGTCCAATATGCTGTTTGTCCAGTTCACTGCTAAGGTACTGCTCTAGCTGCAGAGAAGTGATGCTGAAGGAGGCAACAAGAACTCAACACACAAGATGGAGAAAGTGATGCTGGGAAAAAGTCACAAGGTCCTAAACCATGAAAAATCTATTATTTTAACAATTTAGGTATTCTACAATTTGAACATAGTTTTTTCATTACAATAAACACTGCCACATAGAGCAACATTTCTCTCAAATCCACATCGCTAGTGTATACTATCAAGCACTAATGTCAGTTCTGCAAATTCTCATTCCCTCTGGATCACACAAGAGCAGAGAATGCATAGCGCCTCTCTCAGTGGGGTCAGAATAACGATGACTTAAACGACGGCCTTGCAGTTCTTTAACTGAAAAGCTACAGGTTAGAGACTCGGTGATTTCCTGAACTCATATTGCCTGCAAATTCACAGTTTTTAGAAGAACATTTTAAACAGAAGTTTTATGCATCATTTAGCAAGAGTCCTTAAAGACAATTCATAGTCACTTCATATCTTTGCAAGCCTGTTTGGACATTTTGCCTAAGTTCAGTTTAAAAGGCCCCTCTGTGAGAAGTACAGTTGTCTACATAAAAGGTGCCTGAATTCTGGGGACACATAGGAGATCTTAAGAACACAAGCAATCAGGATCATGTCATACAACACCCATACGCAGACTGGCTCATGTAACACACCCCCATTTCACGGGTACAGAAATGTTAAGCTGGCAGCGTGCTCTAGCTTCCTTCCTGGAGTGAGCTGAGCATTGCATTGTGCATTCGCTCCTGACTAAAACCAAATGTTTTCTCCTCTTACCGCTCATTTTGCATGGCAGTTGACATAGGGTTGACCGTTGGACTAACTGATTTATTCCTCTCCCAAATCATCATGAGTTCTGCCATCCTCTCCTCAGCACACTGCGCTGTTAGTCGAGCTTCAGCATCTTGATCCCAACAGTCTTCAATTGTTTCTTTAAGTGACCTCACAGCCTGCCAGGAGACAAACAAAGCCCCTTTATCTTAAATTATTTTCCCTTTATATTGTGCTTCTAATTTACTGGTTTATGACAGCATTCTGTATGCATGAAAATAGTCACAAGCTGGTGACAAAGAGAAATGGATGATACACAATTTAATTCAAAGATAGTTTACCTTAATAACAGCAATATGCAGGACCAATATTATCATACCTCACACACACACACCAACTAGGAAGACAATTATTTAGGAAAAGCTACATTCACCATTGTCCAAACAACCTTCAGCCAGCCTTCTCTGATGTATGCGTGCTTAGCTCACTCTCCCTGCCTTATGAAAGCTGTGTACTAAAGATTGATGATAGTCTGGAAATGCTGTCATTGTTATCCTCACAATTCAGCTAATGGTCCCTGCCTTGCTTCCCTGCACTGTATGCAAATAACACAGCCTTGCTCATTTCATCATCTTTTTCCTCCTCTGCTACTGTAACATCCAAATGCATCATAAAATTCACTGGTATTTGTCTGCGCTATGGGAAGAGATTATTGCTGCCCTTGTTTTACAGATGGAGAAACAGAAACAAGACACACTTTCCTGGGATCTCACTGTGGGGTGAATGGTACAGTCAGGATTAGAGCTCAAGACCTGCAAAACGTGCTGCCATATGGTCAGAGACCTGGAGAGGAGACAACTGAAATTATGAGCACTGAACACTTCTGCTTCCACTGCATCCGGAGTACAAAAACCAGGCAGACGTTTATTGGCCCCTGCTGCCAATCTGTGGCCCATGGATAGGATATGGTTTGCCAGAACATCTCACATCTACAGTCCAGCTTTAACCTCTCCAGCACCAATAACTGTGCATAGTCCCAGCTGGGCTCTACGGCATTCAGTGGGTCCTGCTGACTGCCTCTGTGCCAGAACTGCCTTGTTCGCTTCTGGCAGTGAAAGCCAGGACTAGCTCTGCATGCTAGCCAAGAGCTCCTCGCCCACAGAGCGGGCTCCTGGCATCGCTTGCATCTGGCAAGTCACTGCTGCTTAGTGATGCAGCTATGGCTGCACAGGTGGGGATGAGCTCCCACGCAAGCAAACCCTTTATCTCCCTTCCCACAGTAGATCGAAGAGGGGTTAAGCAACTACACCCCTCTTAGCTGAGGAACATGAGTCTAAAAGCACCCTCAGGGACAATGACAGGATAGGGTAGTGGATCCCTTTTTCTCTCCCAGAATAAAAAGTCTTCATTTGGCTTTTAGGGCTTGATTTAGTCACAATTGAGATGTATCTAAGTCAGTGGACACCCCAATCTCCTCTCTCGCCCCTTTGTAAGACTCTCTCCTACAGGTTTCATCAGCAGTAAATTTAACCAGTGTTTAATTTAATATTGTCTCTCTTCTAGCACATCCTTTCCTTTTGATGTTTTAAGGACCATGAAAGGACCATGGTGATGACTGTATAGAAAGTTAACAAAACTGACGTTCTTGAGCTCCACATATACCGCAGTAATGTGTTTTCTATTAATTTCAGGTTCAAAGAGATCTATACTAAAATGCACTATTTAGCAGTTTCTAGCACTCATAAAAAAGATAGAAGGGACAGGAAACCTGCATTATTCTATTATTCTGTTAATATCCTTCAGTCCTGACCTTTGAAAACAAGCTTAGACCCTGCTTTGGCAAACGAGACAAGAATGCTGCTAACATCTCAACTCAGTTTATAGCCCTTGAATTATTTTACGCACATCATCTGCTCAGACTGTTGATTTATACTGTGTAAAACAATACGGCTAATGAAGGTCTGTACCATAACACATATGTTCAAGAAGCAGACCGAGACTGCATAGGTAATCATAAATTTAGGATTCCATATCTTTTGAGCGTCTTAATTATGTGACCTAAAAAATAAACCATTGCTTTTTATTTGCATTTCTCAAATGAAAAAGGCAAATACATTTCTCTAATAGATGAATTTGCATGAAAGTGTTATAACCCAACATGTCAGTATAGCTTTAAATAATGGACAAAGGTCTTTTATCCCATGCTTAGATACAGGAGATTAGGACCTGGATCCAGGGTGAAGTTATCTGGAGCTTAGTTTTCTACAACATCTCCCCTAGAGTGCTCATTCAGATGCTATCCTAGACTGGCATAGGGTGGAGTAAGTTGTTTGATACCCATGAGAGAACTACAGATTGTTTCTTTATTCTTTTCTCTTACAGCAGTGGTGTAGATCCATCCTTAGAGCTGGACTTCTCATTATTTTGAATTTTTGAAAAAAAATTAGTGACAACACAAAGAATGTGTTAGGCAGTTTAAATATGGGGATCATTACTAGCTCAGTGTCTAATAATGCTGGAGTCTATCAGCTTGTTAGAACATAATTAACATTTAAAACAGTAATCTGCAAAACAATACAAACCTTCTTGAACTGTTCTAGTTATAACTGTCTTCAAAAGCAGCTGTCAAGCTTGGTTCTTCCAACACTGCATTTGTCAACACCGCTATAGTTAAAACAGCTGCTACTTAATTTCCCATATAGTTTGGGTGTGGGTTCCTCACTCACCCCACCCCCGACTGGCTGGCCAAAACTGTGTAATGAAAGAACCTCTCTATGAAGCTCTCAACTCAGTTACAGCATGTTTTACAACAGTGTTAATACTGGAGGCTATGCTCCTCTCTGCAAACGGTTTCATACGTGTTTACAAGTACCAGCATAGATGAGGCCTTAGGCTCCCCATTATCTGCACAGTAGCTACGTACTTATCAACTAGCAAAGTCTCTGAAGATTGAAGGGCATAATTTCAGTAAGGGAATAACCAGAAGTATCTTTTTAAATAAGAGTCAAATATGTAATTTTCATACTTGCAATCAAGTTGTTTTAGCTTAAACAAGTTACCATGTATCAGGTGGAACCCAGTGACTGCATTTCACTTTGCTTGTAATAAAAGGCAAACAACCCGCCCTAAGCTAAGGGGATCCGCATTACTTCACCTTTGCTGCAGATGAAAGCAAGTGCACAGACTCTTACCAGTGTGCAGCTGACTTGCCCTAACTTGTTGGCCTGCAGCAGCAAGTAAGGCTCTAAGCCGTAGCTATACTAATTCAAAACAGCAAACAACATTGCTATGTTTACAGTCTTGAAAATAAAAATTGCAGATCAAATGAAGCCATATAAAATTTCTAATGTACTTATAATGAAATGATTGCTAGAGGCTGTAGCCTCTGCAAATTCTGAGGACGATACAACTTCAGAAAAAGTTTATTACAATGTTTATAGATTTTAGTTTTGGAAGAGTATATTTACATTTTTGCCAACTATTTCACAGCGTTATTAGTTTATAAGATGTCAAAAGGCAGAAAATGCCTTTAGGTTTCTCATCCAGCATACAGAGAACATATGGGCATTTCATGCATAATACTACAGATACTGTCTAACAATTAATATAAAAAGTTATCTTCTGTGTATCACACTTCAGCATCTGATAATAATCATAGTATTTTTCCTTAAAAGAAATCTAGCTTTCATGTCAATGACTGTTTGAAAACTGAATTCAATATTCAAGAAGTCCAGACAGAAGCAGCTCCCAATCCTTAAATACTAACAAAAATGAAAAAACAGAGGAATGTATTCAAAAATTACTTTTAAGAAGTGAGTACACCCTATAGCTGGTTAAATGACTGTTTCTTTGAAAATATTCTATCTCACCAGGCTGTTCTCCTTCCACGCTTCTGGGAATTTTGGTCTTTGCTTCTCTCTAGACACCAAGACTTGCATATCTTCAAAAGTGGGATGGTTTCCAACTTCTGTCTGGAAAGCCATCTGGTACTCTGGCACAGATTCCCCTGTTAGCAAAAGAAAGAAAGAAAAAAATCACAGATTAAAAGGCAGAGCAAGGGCTTTCAGGTGATGAAAGGTAGTATCAAAGTTGCTGTTTATTGATATGCTCTCCACTTTCCCCCCAAAGTCTAATTTCACAAAAAAACGGAATTAACTGCAAACGAATTAAGTGTTGTTCAGCAACCTCTCGAAGGATAGCATCTTCAAACTTTGCTGGTTGAGTGGCACATTCAGAATGTCTTAGAGCCTGAGGATGACACCTAATTTCTGTGAAACGTCGCTGACTGAATATATTCATGTACTTCATTTGGGAGGAAGCCCAGCGAGATTACAAGTCTCTGCACATAAAGTGCAGCTGTTTGACTACAGAGAGAATGCTGCATGTCAGAGTAACTCTATATGCTGTACCTTGGGAAGATGATGGTTGTTGTAACACAATCTCACCTGTTAAATTTGAAGTCTACTTCCTCTTGTTTTATGTTATAGGTATGGAGTATTTCCCTGAATTTTCAATGTCACTAGCATAAATAAAAGTACAACTGACTGAAGGCTACATTAAATCAGAGCACTTTCCCATCCATTCTTTCATGAGGAAAGTCTGAAAGACACTTCAGGCACTTTTATCAGTTCTAAGAACTGGAAGTACTGCCTTTCCCATCAGCCCAACTCTCAATGTTTGTAAACTCTGAACAATAATAATAATGCTCAAATTGCACTTACCATGCGGCCTGCAAACTGCTTAAACAGGTAAAAGTCTTTCAGCATGAGCCATGCCTCACGCTCAAATACACTGTATTGACAACAATAATCTTGACCACTAGATGGCACCGACTTAATGGCAAAAACAACTGAGAAAATTATTCCCTCTTCACTTTAAAAAGCTATGGCTCAGGAGTAGCTTTGGTTGCTGGTACCACTTTCCACTACTTATGTTTTTTCCAGTTCTTTTAGTTACCTGGGAAGAGGTCTGTACATCTCATAAATATCTCCCAGTAGATAAGGCCTAGCGCATACATATCTACTTGTTTCAAAGCAGATTCACAGTCCCTCAAGTTCACTGCTCCTTCGAGCACTTCTGGGGCCATATAGCGGATTGTACCAACCTGGAAAAACAGAAAATCAAAGCTTCAAATCAGGAAGCAATTTCCAAATTCAATTAGTATGGAGACCTTTTTTTTTAATACCCTACTTTGATATTTTCTACAGTTAGGGAATATGCAGTTCTCTTCTAATCAATGTCCTCAGCTTCTAGACTCTGATCATAATAAAACCCTTCCCCTACTCTGTCACTTTTTTGTATGTACCAAAACAAAATAATTTTGTCCGTTTCTCAATGTAATGTTCTCATGTGAAATATTATATAGCAGAAATGTTTCTTTTTCCTGAAATTACTCTGTTAAACACCAAGGTATGTATCGTAACGGAAGAGGATGCTGCTGAACAAGGACATTGTTCCTTTTATTCCTGACTGTCAGCAAGGCTCTCCCCTACATCTTCCATGGTCAATGGTTATTAACAGCCTTGGAAGATATCTATTCATTTCCACTAGGAAATATGTTAGATTAGAGCAATCACTCATCGGTAGTTGTAGGGCAGTATTTTGTCACAGGACTATTCCATATCCCTGCATTTTAAACAGTGGTTTCCCTGTTTCTTTGTTAAGTAAGGGGAGATCTAAAAAGAGGACCTGTGCACTAAGTACTATTAATGTAGCACTTTCTAAGGGAAGGTGATTAGCGCTGTGAAACACATTATTTGAATAAAATGTAGTTTTCCGTAAAAGTACAAAGACAACAAATGTACTGAACCATTAGGGACTTTCACCCTTTGTTTAAAATAGTCTCACTGTATTTCAGTAGCCTATATTCAGGTGTCAGTGTATTTATGCCTATACAAAAAGAAAACAACAACAAAAACACCACTCTGAATCACAGCATCATAAAAAAAGAAAGCTTAAGAAATCAGTTTTTTCTTTCTGCCCAGAATCCATTCTAACCCACTCCTAGCAGATGTTTTCTCAATCTGTTCCTTAAATTCATAAAATGATGCAAATTCTGTATAGCCTTCCTCAGCAGTCCATTCCAGACCTTGGCTCCCTGCTAGATATTAGAAAAGTTTCTTCATAACTAACCTAAATTTTCCCTCCTACGATATAATCTCATTACCCCTTGTCCTATCCACACCGAATGCAGTTTATTTCTTTCTCTTCACAGCAGCTGTTTACATGTCTGACCACCTGTCTCTGCCTTTACTTCCCTAAACAACTCTAATTCTTTCATCTTTTCCTATAAGGTACTCTTTCAAGCATTCCCTATTATTTTGTCCCTTTCTCAGCTGGTCCATGTCTTTCTACATGCACTTACTCTCCTGGATGTATCTGTTTAAAGTCCAAAAACCTGCAGATGACACACAGAGAAATGGCTGTCGGATGTAGAATACGGTATGTCACCGTTTCAGAAAAATTAACACCAAAACCACCAAAGAATGTTTGGTCTTCAGTTAATACTTGCAGTACAAGACTGAAGGGACCCATACCTCATCATTGTAAACAACATGGCAACCAAATATACCTTGCATCTTCTCATATCGCACACAGAAAACTTCAGTCTCCAGGGCTGCCAATCTATCACCTTTCAAAATGCTAGGTTGGTTTGGTTTTGAGTGTTTTGAGAATAAAACCATTTTCTTCCTATCAACGTTTCAGCCACTTCTCACCCACATTGTAGCAATCCCCCCTTAGAAGTATTGTACCACCTTAACATTCACCTTGTAACAACAGAAATAATTGTTTCTCAGTGTTACTTCCATACTAATTTGTCTTCCTTTATACGCTGGTTCATCTTCATTTCTACTTACCTCACTAATGGCTGCATTATCTTCCTCACCTGGGCGTACCAGTCTGTTTCCAGTTAACTTCATGGAGAGTCCAAAATCACTAATTACACATGTTCCATCATTCTTTACCAGTACGTTGCGGCTGTTCAAGTCACGATGGGATATTGCAGGTTTGTAATGGTCTATTTGGATATATGGAAGTGCTTGTTATTATTTGAGCAGTTCTACTGTTTGGCAAAATGAGAGAACCTCATTACGGCTGCTCAGCTATTACAAACAGAAAATCAACTTATCTTTTAGAAAGCTAACATTTTTGCTTCTTTATAATGAGCTCCACAGTATGCTATCTATAGAAAAATGACTGGCATTCAGAGTTTCACTGTATCTATACAATATATTAGGCTACTGCTATATACAGTTTTAGTGTTTGCCAATAAGCTTCTTTCCAAGGGATATTTCAGCATGATTTTGGCAGGGGAGACATCATGTACTTAAGCACAGACCTGCTGCCACAGCCCTGAGAGCCATTCCAAAAGCTCTCTCTCATATCCACACTCCTGTGTCAAATACGGCCCCAACTATTTATGTTATGATTGGGATTGGCACCTATTCAGGAGATATGTAGACAATTTTATTCCAGAGAGTCTGAACATGTTCCTTTTGTAAGGGATCTGATCTTTTCCAAAGCATAATCTCAGTTGTTCCTAGTTCATATGCAATTAATTTTGTTAGTAAAGCAGCCAGCACTATAGAGCAGGTTTTACTGTGGAATTTATTCTACTCCATGAATTCCTTCCTAGCATTCATAAACCAGCCTATGGCTGTCTCTTCTTCACGATGGAAGGTTTACACATTTTCTGGCTGCTAATGGACACCTGTCTGCACATTTCAAAATGATGAAGTTAAGATGATAGCTGCAGTTTCAATGGCACGTAGGAATACTGATTTAGGCATTTTCAGCCTTGCACTTTCAACAGCATCTTTAGTTGTCATTCTTTGCTAGAGCTGATGCTTAACATTTGAGATATACAGTTCAGAATTTTAATCCAAACATTAGCACCTTAACATAGAATTAATGATACCATCCTTTTATTTACTGCCAAAAAGCTAACGCTTCAGTGCCATGCCATATTCTGCAGCCTGATACATCACAGATCTCTGAATATCTGCTTTATAATCATGGTACTTCAGCTGCTGAAATGCTGGCTGATGCATGCAAGCAGAGATATAAAGATATAAATCAGTATGTTGTCACATCCGGTGCTCTATTAAAACACTAAAAGTCTAGCAGTATCATTTGTACACAACGAAGACTAGGCCCACACCCTTAGACAAAAATCAAGAGATAGGATAAATAAAAACACAGTGGAGTTAGAAGATTTAATTATTTCTCTTTGTGTATACAGTTCACACACAAACTAAAAATTGCTTTGGTGATTTGTGTCTGAACTGCAAAACCAAACAGAACACCCAGGCTCTGGAGTCCTCAGTACAAGACAGACATGGACCTGTTGGGGTGGGTCCAGAAGAGGGTCACAAAAATGATCCGAGGGCTGGAGCACCTCTCCTACGAGGACAGGCTGAGGGAATTGGGGTTGTTCAGCCCGGAGAAGAAAAGGCTGCGGGGAGACCTTATTGCGGCCTTTCAGTACTTAATGGGGCCTACAGGAAATATGGGGACAAACTTTTTAGTAGGGCCTGTTGTGATAGGACAAGGGGTAATGGCTTTAAAGTAAAAGAGGGTAGATTCAGACTAGATATAAGGAAGAAATTTTTCACGATGAGGGTGGTAAAACACTGGCACAGGTTGCCCAGAGAGGTGGTAGATGCCCCATCCCTGGAAACATTGAAGGTCAGGTTGGACGGGGCTCTGAGCAACCTGATCTAGTTGAAGCTGTCCCTGCTCACTGCAGGGGGGGTTGGGCTAGATGACCTTTAAAGGTCCCTTCCAACCCAAACTATTCTACGATTCTATCTGTTTGCTTTCTGCTAGACAGACATCCAGTGCTCCAGGTCTTCAGTAATCTGTTGCCATGATACGGCAGCACTGCACAACTCTGCCTCCTCCTCTTGCCTTTTTCTGGGGCTCTGCTGGCTCTTACTCTATGTTTTCATACAAGTGTCACAGACAGAGCCCACAACATGGGACTGTTCAGAAGGAAAGAACACATCAGAAGTTCTGAGTAATCTCTATTTGCATTCATCATTTCCTACTCACCATACTGTCACAGAGAAAAAAAGAAAGGCAGGAGTCTACTACCCAATAGAAATAAAAGTATCTTGAACATCTTGGCATCCCTTCCTGGCCTTACCTCCTCGAGGTAGCTCCGTGTGCAGGTATGCCAAGCCCCTAGTTATAGAGTGTGCCAAACGACAGGAGCTCACCCAGTCACTTGTGTGGAGACTCAAATATTTGCACAAAGAACCCTAAAAAAAAAAAAAAAAAAGATAATAGTTGAATAACTCAAAATCTTTAGAAGAGTCAGTTTTATCCATTGCTCCTGAAAGGTGTAATCCTGCAACTGATTCTGTGCTTACCCACATGTTCTGAAAAGATTGGACCAAAGTTTCATTAATTTCTAGTGCTGCCATTTGGTTTATCTAAAGAAGTGGAACAGAAAATTTATCACAAAATAACAGGGATTGCCTCTAGGAATAATGATATTAATTATAAAACAAAAGCAAAGCATGCACTTGATTTATTCTTCTGAAAAAGTCTTGTTGAACAACAGAAGAAAGGTAACTGCAGACTAATAGCTTGGGTTACTAAAATAGTGGCCTTTAAACCATTAGCACTTACAGAAGAATACTCAACATCTCTCACTGGCATCTCCTGTACTGTAATCTATTTATATATCAAAACAAAACAAAACAAACTAAACAAGGCAATTTAGAACAGGAGTGAATCCACACGCAGTGAAGAAACAGGAAAAGAGAATGTCATGTTCCCCTTTTCTTGAAAGAGAAGTTAAATGTGAAAAATGGGCAATTTTTTAGTAATTGGTGGTGGAATCTCCAAGAAAACCAGAAGGAAGGGTGTCAGTTATGATACTGAGACATTCTAGAAACTGAGACTGCTATCTGAAAAAAGAGCCAGATCCTGCAAACTATGACACCTTTGAGCAGTTTTTATGCATGTAGTCCCCAATGACAATACTTCAGTTTAAACAAACAATTCCATTTAAACAAACTGAATCCCCATACATGAAGAACAAGTAGTCCAGCTGTCTCCGCATACAGATTACAATATCCTGTTTGTTTATGACTACAAACTACCATGGTTTTGCCTATTTAAATCTGTAATCTTAAAGATGCACCAATGTGTAACATCTTATCATAGCCGCAACTAAAAACACTTCATTGCAAAATTAGTTATGTAACATTTGGTTCAAAAAATCCGGTTTATGCCATTTGAGTCCATTTGGACTCGACATTCAGGTACGTAATGCATGCACAGTTCAGCTGGAGGCACACAGATACTAGAATTTAAAATGACCAAAGCATTAGACATTTTTTTAATCCCATGCTAAAACTAAAACCAAGTTCTTGACACTCCTTAATAGAATTACAAAAAGTCTTAATAGCTTTTCAGACTTAGCCTGGGCAGAACAAGGCACCCATAAACAGATAACGTCCTCGGTGATAACAGACCAAATGTCACTCATATAGGTTTACACAAACTTTTTTTTTTTTTTTTTTCCATTGTTTAAAATGCTGTTATATGAACTTCAAACAGATTTTGGTAAGAAAAAAAAGCTGAGAATCCACCCAGAAATGAGTTAAGGAATTTTACATTTTTTTCCTTATCGTTTAAAGCTTTTGAAGAAATACACTCTTATTAGCCCCCAACTGCCAGCAACTTGGGTGCGGTAACAGATTTTCTTAGCTTAGTGGGTTGAGATTCCAGCCCCTTCTAATGGAGGCCACAGGACTTTTGTCATGGTGTGACTGGGAAACACTCACTGTATAAAGATCTCAAACCAACTTCAAGATCTTTCTGCTGCAGAGCTTGCTAGCCACCAGATATTTTTTAAGCTAGCCAAGGGCTGTGATTTTATGCTTTTAGTGAAATTCAATATAAATGACAACCAGGAAAAGTTTTAGTCAAGATTTAGAGAGATATATACTTGTAATTAAGATTTTTCTTGTCAGAGTCATAAGTTACATGTTAAATTGGGGACATTTGTTCTGATTATCACTTTTGATAAACTTGATGTTTTTGTTTTAACAATTATAAGATTCTACTATGTGTTTTACAACAGTTTTTCTATTGTTCTAAAAAGACCTGAATGTCTGACTACTGGCAGGACAACTCTGTAGCTATTACGTATCTCCTGCTATGTCATCCCTTGCAACTTACTGCCACACCTCAGAGTACCATCAGAACAGCATATTGATTGATAAATACACATCTCTCTCCTTTTATTACCTGCTCACCTGCCTCCTTTGGTCTGAAGGCATGTTTGGATAACAACACAATTTGGGTCAAACCTGTCTGTCTTGCTTTCACCAAGGCAGCATTCTGTGTGAAAATGTTCTGGTTTGTGTGTTCCTATTTCCAAGAAGGAAAGTATTTCGAGAGAGAATGATGTTTTGGATGGGGAGTATTTCACCTGCGCATCTTATATGGGTTACTCCTTATTGAAATAAGATTTATGGCTCCAGTTTGAATGGTGTAATTCCCTTTTAGCAGGGCTGCCACAGCAAGGCTCCTTCTCTGCTGTTAGCTCCACATACAGCAGAACATCTGCTCACTGAATTAAGGATCACACTGTGCATTAATTACACCTACTGCGCACTTCTTCCAACGACATCCAAACCACCAGTGGATTGATTTTAGACTAATCTTGCTGTTCTTAATACCATATTGAGAAAGAATCTGATAATATGATGTCATAAGCCTCATCTGTGCATTTAATCAGATCATTAACAGACCCTGTTTATATAAGCAACAAGACACAATTTTCAGTCAAATTACATTTCAGCTGAAAATCCTTTCATTCAAGAAAACAGCAAAACCGGATCACCTGTTAAGACAGTTATGCTATGCCCTCCCAGGAGCAGAATACTGGCTTGATTTCACTTAACTCAATTAGTTGAAAATAAGCCTACTCTGCCAGAGCAGCCCAGAGCTGACGTGCTTTGTCACTGTCCGTCTGGTATGGGCACAACTGAGCTTTTTCTATGGTCATTTCTAGTCTCTGCAATCTCTTCTTCGATGCCCATCTCTTATAAGCTGACATGATCAAGTGTGTTCTCACTTCAAAGTTTCAGTTAAGATGCTCTTTATATATTTATGAAGTGCTATGTTGCCTTAAATATGCATATATATTTAGATATCTAAATACACGTATGCATTTAACTTTCAACACAAGCATATACGTAGAGCCTAAAACACCTAGAGACAGGCCATCATTACTGCTATTTACTACTGTTCTGTTTCTTTTTGCTACTTGAATAACCAGCTTTTGTCCTACTGCCCCCATAACAAATCAGGCTTCAGCCATCACCTGTACACACTGGAGGAAATACAATATGAGTTCACTTACTTGAGACCAAAAAGCTCATTAAAAAAATCATTTAACCGAACACAGTTCTTTCCCATACACAAGCAAAAAAACCCCAAGATAAATTGTGAAACATAGGTTTTTGCATTTTCATATGTATATATAACCCCCATATACATTACATTTTATGATTTTTCATGAAAGCAATTCACATCTATGCTGTGTATTTTTAAAGCATTTTTGTTTCTATGCGTGTGCGCGCACACACACAGTGTTGGGAACTCAAATCAATGAATTTGAGGGATGTAAGCATTCAGTTAGCTAAGGAGATTTGAAGATATGGCTCTGCAAAGTAAGACTGCCTTCTTAAGACTTGTCCTACATCATCAATATACGGTACAGCAAAATAAATATGGTATGCCACAGAAAGCTTTAAAGAAGGTAACAGGATAAAAAGCCAACATGATTTACAGTACCACAAACTAGTTTGACAACAATATTGGATCTATTATGTTTCATTGTAAAAAAACCCACCATTTACAGCTACTGAGTGAGGTCATAACTACAATAACAGAGATATGTCTTAATACTTAGAAGTTTTAAATTTATTAAATTATTTTTAAGTAAAAATAACTTCAAATTCCATCCTTGAATATTGCAGTTGACTAAAAAAACTTGCACCATAACCAAGAGCAAATACTACAGCTAAGAATTTGTAAGACTGCATTTGGTAGCACTAACTGGGAAATCTTAAAGGGTATTACAGTAAACCACACTAAGGTTCATTAAAATTGTAATTTATATGGATTATTTTTACATTACTGTGCAAGAAGCAGCAATGAAAAACACTGGCAAATACTGAAGTACATCCTTTTTATGTGGCTATTCTTAGGAATCTAAACCAATCGATCGATTTCTTCGAAGCACTTACATTGGGGTAATATTCCATCACCAATAAATATTCCATACGGCCGTCTGCAGTGAATCTCTCATCCCCGACAATGAAGCGGGCAATATTGTCATGTTCCATCAGTGGAATCCTGTAAATGTTCCTCTCATTGACAAAGTTCTGACGATTAGCAAAAGAAAATACTTTCACAGCAACTGGACGTTCATCTAGGGAGCCTTTATACACTGCTCCATATCGTCCCCTGCCAATCAACTGCAAAAAAAACGTAAGTAATTAGTTTACTAAATAATAAATGAAGACAAAATCCAAGTTTTCACTCTACAAAGACTGTACACTGACTTTTACACTGACTTACACTACAAAAAATAGTGAATTAGTGAGTATTTTATATCGAAAACTAGAATTAGAATGCTGTCATAAAAGCTATTTTGGAGCTGGAAACCTCGGCATAGGCCAACTTAGATCTTAATTGATCTATAGTCTGAATACCCAGTAAATAAATCATAAATAATCTATTCAGCAGTTTTATATACAGAGTCAATAAAATCCATGTGTTTTGTGCTGCTAATTATCTTATTAAACTTTTGCCTACTAAACATTTATAGCTTTTATGTGATCAATTTTAATTAACTCCAGAGATCAGAGACATTAAGCTAAACATTTTAGGTTTAGGATAGCTTTATAAGCTGTACCTTTCAGGTTAGTAATAAAAATATATGAATTTGTAGTGCAAAATAGATAACGAAAGAGGTAAACGGGTTTTAACAGAAAGGAGTAATTAATTCCTTACTACCTGTGAATCTTTATTCTAGCTCCCACTATGTTAGTCAGTCTTCACAGAACAGCCTTTCCCATCTCCATGGCAACTGAAGAAAGATGTGATCTCTACTCTAAACCAAAACATAGGACCACCTTCAGGAAGAGTCCTAGTTTCTAAAGCTCAAAAAATTCTAACTACATAAGAATTTAAGCATCTATTTAATTCAAGTAATTTTCAGGGAGACCTAGACAGGAAACTGTAAGGATTTAATGGACCAGCATCTTTTTACTTTTTAAATACTTACAAATGGAGGAGGAATGGAAAGCAGAAGGGATTACAAAAGTAAGGCTTCTAAAGAGATAAAATTGTCTAACAGGAAAGTTTTCAACAATAAAGTATCCTTTAACAGACAGACTGTCCATTTCTCACTCCTTCCATGTCAGTGGAGTGCAAAGCAGTAGCGAGTCACCTCAAGGTACAAACCTGGAATGTATTCTATCCACACAGAGGTGAAAAGGCAAGCACAGGTTAAGACGATTTGTTCTGCGACACCCTATGACTCGGGGTGAGGAGTCAGCTCCTTAGGATTTAAGAAAGAGGACAGAAGACCCCATAGCAGATCTCTTCACCAACAAAGTCGCCGCTTTTTCCAAGACTGCATATCAGTATGAGTAACTTCATCTGGGGCTTTGCACACTTCTACATTACACATCCTTATACTCTTGTAAACTCTGCCTCAAGTACTTTTTTGTTGGCAGAAAGCACCCGAGCTTCTTTGCTGATCAGTCTGCTGTCACCATTAGCCCAGACCACACTGCATGCCTGCAGTCTGCATCTCTAGGTGTGATTTCTAGTGGGCAAAAAGAAGAAAAGTACCACTCTCTGAATCCCTCTCAGTCATTCTACTGATTTATTTCTGACTAAAAGCTTTTAAAAATTCTGTAAGTTCTATCAAGCACACCAATTGAAAGAACAACATGTGGCAGTTTTCTGATGATACATCTAATACCAAGCTGAGTAGAAAGTTCTGGTTGGCCTCTAGTTGCCATGGAGATAGAGTACCCCACTGTGAAGAATGACTATAGATAAATGCACCACTACTGAAATACACTGCCCTATCTGCAGTAAATTCTGTATTCCAACAGTGTTACTAAAGCATTTCAAGTGACTACGGTAGGATACCGTACTTAAAGTGACCCATGTCAAGCAAAAAGATGGGTCTTTTGATGCAATGCTGAAATGCAGCACATTCCCATTTCCCCCAGTACTTCCCAATGTTTAGTATTTTCTTCTCAAGGTAGAACATGTTCTAGCTAATACCAACAATATTACTAACAAAACCAGGCAAAATGTAACTGCGGTAACCTTTCTTTTTCTTTTTTTCTTTTAATTTCTTCTTTAAACTGTGATTTAGAAGAAAACATTACAGGTGCACTGATACTTTTATTTCTGTAACTATACCTGGGAGGTGATACGACCACAAGCGTTACACTGAATAAAAATGAAGATTAAGAAACCGAGTTGAACATTTACCTCCAACAGCTTTAGATTATCCAGATCCAATGAGGGCTCTGATGCTGCTGCCTCCATCATGTTCATACTGTGCAAACCTTGTTTACGGTCTCCTGTGGAAGGGGGTGGGGAGGGAGTCAGACAGTTTCCTTTTCTTGCCTTGCTACAGGTGAAAACAATGCAACTTACCTGGGACTTGACAGAAACACATACTGTAGGCAAGGACATAACAAATAAAAAGGAATCCTGTAAAATCTTCTTGGAATCAGTAAAATCAGCAGTGAAGGTGCTGATAGCTACAAACTTAAGGCTATCTGCTACACAACTAATTTTGATAATTGAATGTCACTGGCAATAACTGCAAAGCATGTCCACAACCTCACTTAAGCTGTGTTGAACAGAGGATTTGTTGAAGAAAAATGGGTCCCAAAATGCCAGCTTGGAGAAATCATAAATCCCTCTGGACTGTTATGAAAGGGATATCACCATAAGGTGTCAGAGAGGAGAAAGGGGAGCATTATGTACAAACATGTAACAGGGCCTGGGGAGAACAGAAGACATTAAGTGTAACTTTGAGAAATAGTCAAAAGAACAATTAAAAAAAAAAAAAAAAAAGAAGATTGTCAAACCCTACCTGCAAGCATCCTGTATCCAAAGAACAGAGCAGCAATCAAAACAGCCAGTACAGACACAGATGCAAGGGCAATAACTATAGTCTCATCTCGATGAAAAGAATGAGAAGAATCTGATCGAAAACAAGATGAAGACTCTTTAACTGTAAATTTGAAAGAATCAGCACTATAAAACATGCAACTGTTATTACAACAAGGAAGAAAATTGTACTCTGGATTGTAAGACATTACACTAAACTCTTCTTCCTCTTAAAATCTGGGGATGGCAAAAGAGCCTATCAGTTCAAGCACAGCTGAGCGCACATTCATTGGCAGCTTTTCCCAGTCTTCCCTTGCCACCGTAGAGAGAGGCACCAACAGCGGAAAGTGAATCTTCTTTCTAGCTGGCAAAGCTCAGCCCAGCCATACGAGGCCAAGTTGATGCAGTCCTGCTCTGCTGTCTGTGCCTTAATCCAGTTTCCCGGTATGAATCAGGTTTGTAACCTTTACAAGTTGTTTTTTTATTATGTTTCCCAGAATGAAAATCTCAACAAAGTTTGCTGATAATGCTGCAAATGTGATGAATACTGAATGTTTTGTATTCAAATATCTACAACATACATTAGCTACAAGTCCATTTGTGCAAATATTTCAAAATACTTCGCGGTTTTGATTTGTTTCATGTCAGTGCTCAGGTAATTTTTAGCATAATTCTCACTCCTTAATTCACAAAAAGACAAGAGACATCTCCACAGACTGCAGCAGAGTATCAAGAAACTTGAAACAACAATAAAACACTAAACAAAATTAAATAACTCTTTTTATTGAACCCTTTTAAAAATATCATTTGATTTTTGTCAAAATATAAGTATCTCGCCTCCCCACCTCCCCCCCAAGGGCCGGGGGGGAGTTTTCATGAATAAATTTGTTAGTGTCTTGAATGGTTAGCTTAATGCTTCTCCACGTCAGACCCCAGTCTTGCTTCTTGCAGGCATACAAAAATTCAGCCACTTTAATATTAAAAATTTATTACTGCAGATATTCCTCTGATGTCAGAATCACTGGAATGTGGCATTACAAGACCTCATTTACTTTGGCTTCAAAACCAAGTTTGGGAACTATGTTTAAACTTGTCTTATATATTGCTAAAAGTACTCCTTAAAAGACTGTAATGAGACCTAACTGTGCTAAAACCACAAAATATAAAATGCACACAAGGCTTAACCATTGGGTAAATTTTTAGGTGAGACTGAAATACAATTTATCCCAGTCTACACTGGCTGAATAAACTGACAAATTCAGTTTGCTTAAACTGCATTTAAAAGAAATTAAACATGATTCACTTATTCCAATTCCCAGTGTGGATAGACACAAGAGAGCCAGATAAGAAGAGAAAGCAAATTTAAAAGACAACAGCTTCCATTTTTACATAACCATAATGGTAAGAGGAAATAATAAAAAGCTGGTAAAACAAAATACCAGAGAGTGTTTCAGCTGTGATAGAAGTATGTGAAAAATCACCCATCAAAACTAACATGCAGCTCATATCTAATAAACCCTTTAAATAAGAGGGAGCTTGTGATAATCACACCACCATCAAATTCAAATTTGTTCCATCAAAAGAAGTACCATCAGTTGGTTTTGGTAAAATATGTTTCACTAAGAAAATACGCTATTGCCTCAGAGCACTGTACAGTGGAATAAGAGTTGTGACTTCCATTGCGAGGAGACTAAAAGATACACATTACAATTCTCATCTAAATTATGAATTCAAAACATATACATACATACATGCATATTGAAAAACACAACATCATAAAGGAAACTGTTACATCATACAAAGCTGTATGAAATCTCACAAGTGTAAGAAGCTGAATAATTGCTGGCAGGGAAATTGTAATTTTGATTTTCATATTTTTCTGAATGGAATTTACGTTTTATTGGCTTACCTTTTAAAATATATATTAAGTGTGGTGGGTTTTGCATCAGTTCAAGATGGTGCCTAGCATGTACTAAAAAAATTCAGGTTTTGAGGGGCGGGGCTTTTTGCTATAATCTCAGCTGTATTTTCTTTGACCACACAACTAGGGTGCAGCCATTTACAACCTTCTCATTGCTAAATATACAGTAATCATTTCCACCACTGATTGCCAAATGCTATCTAATGCCTAAGTTTGATTGCTCTACTTTAGTTGTTCTTACAATTGAAGGGTTAAGAACATGCCTCCATCATGAGGACCCTCCTCTACCCTGGAACAGGATTTTGCTGTTCCTCCACTCCTAGCCTGGTGCAGGGCGAGGGCATCCTGCGCGACACGGGCTATTTAGCAGCTCTGGCTGCACTGGCACACTTGCTCTTTCTCCCATTAGAAGCTTGTGAACGGTGGCATTATGCAGGCTGGAGAGCTTCTAGAAAATCTCCAAATAACAACGTTTTGTGCCAATCAGCAGTAGAAAAACTTGCAGAGAAAAAGGTAGTTGCTTTCTTGCTCCTTGATGGACCATCCCCTCTGGGGCTTTCTATCTTTAGTGGGTAGCTGTGCCGCTGCCACGTAACCTCAAAGAACTTCCCCGGCCTTCAAGAGGAAAGAATGTTTTAATTTTTTTTAAGCAGAGTTGTTCCTTAACAAATCTTAGATTGGCTTATCTTGAACCAATTTTTAATTCTTATAAACATTTTAAAATAATGTTGGCAACATTCCAACAGCCAAGTCAGTCCTACAGTGTGAGTTACTACAGACAGGTTGTTGAGCAACATTTATAAATGTAAGGATAAATACAAATTTCTTAATAAGGGTAACTGAACATTTCAGTGGAGTGGCAATGCGCAGCTCAAAACAATATGGGTGGGTAAAATGCTGCATATGATGGGCAGTCATTTCCCAGCCAGGACAATTTTACTATCTTGTAAATCTACATAAAAAGAAAAGCACAAAACAAACACAATGACAAAAAGCCCAGATGGCCCCCAAAAGCCCACAAAAAGTATTATTTCTATCTGCCATGTATGACTAGGAACTTTTGATGGTGTCAGATTATCAGTCCTTCTTAAACAGAACAAAAAGGATATGTCACCTATCGACCCAGTTTTAAAACCTTCCAAAGCTTAACAAGACTCTTATTAACTAATTCATTTTTTCAATCCATCTCTTTCTTTGGATATATTTTGTCTTTAGCCTTTTGCACCAGCTGCTGACTTGCCTTTAAATGCCTAGATGGGAAATGTTAGCAAAGTCAAAACCAGATAGGACTTCTCAAGGCATTTGCAGAGGTTCACATTTCCTCTTTTATCTACTTTTAACTAAAATAATACATATTTTATATATACATATACATATGCACACAAGCCATATTTTTCTTGGTATTATCTGGAGTTGCACTTTAACTAACTCGCCAAAAGGCACATCAGCGTGGGTCAATAAAAGTAATTACTGACCTTTAAGCAAGGCACTTTTTAAATAAGAACGTAAAATACACACTTATACAAATTTCTTTTCCTGTTTTCTTCCATGAATTTATAGGCCTGTCTGAAACAACCACAACTCTTTAAGATTAGGAAATTCAATATGAAAGTTTATTTGACATTACACTTCCTATCAGTAGCTCCAGAAGCATCACAGAGCACAAACAATATTTTCTGAAGTCAGGCTTGGTTGGTCTGAAACTGTTAACAACTGCATCCCCAAATCAGCGGACTCCACCTTTCACATTTATTTACAGTGACAGGACACCTGCCCTACAGCTGCAGTATTTTTTCATCACATCATAGTATGAACTGACTTTAGACACGCATAACTACTACTCAAGAGTCTCATTTGAGTTTTTGGGATTGTTACTGGTATTTGGGTATTTCTTTAGTGACAAATACAAACTGAACAAAAAACAAACTGTCCAACGCTGGCTTCAAATTTTAGACTGGGAACAGTGGTGTCTCAATATTATTCCCAAACCAATGTATGGCATAAAAAACCCAATAGCATATGCTGAGCAGAATTAGCTACAGACTCTAGAAAATCCAATGATTAAGGAGTTGACTACTGAGCCAAATTCTACCCACACTTGTATGCAGAAGATATCAGCAAAGCTTCCTCAAGTTTATGTTACTGTAACTGAAAGCAGAGGTTACCACAGTTGCTTGTTTCACTGCTATTTATATGTGAGGTTTTTATTTCCCACTTCCACTTAGACTCCTGATCTAAAACAAAATCTGCCAAAACAAAAAATTAAAACCAACAGAAACTGTTGTAAGGCCCAAAACACCTTAAGAGCCAACTTCTTATCCCCCTTGGATGGGAAAGGGAGAGCACCGCTCACAGGGCTACCGACTCTTCAAGCAGCAGCGTGAGGATGCCATTTAGAAGGCATCCAGCACATACACACTGCTATCTTGAAACATTTCTGCCAGTAATTGATACGAGTCAACATTTTTCTGAAGTCCACCAATCCCATCACAAAGAAATATCACAGCAAAGAGTATAATAGTCTTTTTTTAAGTAAGAAAAAGAAACAAAGCACGACTCATTAAAACAGAGACAACCTCCTGGCTGGGGAGCAGCTGGTAACCAACAAGCCACCATTCCCAGAACCATCCTGACCTCACCATCAATAAAGAGCTTGTTTTCAGGTTCCAAAACCTGAGCACAACAGCTCCTGTGTATGGAGAGAATTTTGTCAAAGGTACACACAAATAATTGTGCATGTATTTCAGAGGAAACTGTGAAGGGGAATGCTTCTAGTACTCGATTAGGAGTGAGTCATCTGGCTGAACCCAGCCCTGCACTTCAGATACTCCCTGCAGGCATTTCTACCACATTAAGGATTTCTCTCTCTTCTCTCAGGCATCACTGCCATAATAGTTTCTAAACACTTATACATCATCTTTGGTAAATTAATTTTTTAAAATTAAGCTGCCATATTGCCACACATGGAGGTTGCCTACTGCTGCCTTCCTAACCTTCCCCAGGAATGACACAGAATCAAGAACACTGACAGTGCCAATGGCATCAGGAAGAATAGTATTTTTCCTTCAAATTAACTTTTCCACTATAAACACAAGCTTGTAATATTGATTAATGCAGAAGTACTCCAGTCTGTGCCTATGCTTGAAAAAGCTGCTTCTTTTATTTCTCTGTAA